TTTTTTTTTTTATATATAGAAATTTTCTAAATTTTGGGACAGTATAGTCTGATAAAGAGTACATTTATATACATGTTTAAGCCAGAATGATTTGACAGTTTAAAATGATTTCCCTACGACTTTATGTGGAGGTTTGAATTGACCAGAATTTAGTTACAATACATACCACAATACATATGTCATGGTACAATTTATCTGGATACATTAACAGTGATAATAATTTGAGATTTTTATACTAATATAGGTTTGGAAAACCTCAAATGATCTAGTTGCCGATGCGGAGCTCCTGAATAGTGGGAGATTTGACAGTGACAACTAGCGGCTGTTGTAGATTAAGCGTTTTTTAAGAAAAGTAAGACAATTAAACTTACATTTCTGTATAAATACTTTTTACATTTAAGATCCATTCAACAGTATTTTGAATCAATACAAATACTGTCTAATGAAATATAGAGAACCAGAGAGGGAATGTCAACACATTGGTCATTTTTTCATGGTGTGAAAAGGGTAAGAACATTTATAGGATACAATACTGATAAATATCAGTTATCAGGAATAACAGCAATACTAATAGTATTATCGGATATTGGCCAACATTTTAATATCAGTGCATTCATAGATCAAACCATCCTAAAATACAACAAGCAATCTCTGGTAAAAAAAATATTAGCTCTCTCCATCAGTTTCTGTGTAGACTGTATACGCAGGAGCAGAACTGTATACACGTTGGGATATGGAACTAACTGGCTCCATAGCATACCTCAGAGTATTAGCTATCCAGATGGAGGTAGTATTATTTCAAAGAATCTTTAATGATCATCATCCAGTGTGGATCATTTTAATCTAAATCAATAACCCTTGTCACTGCCAGTTGAAATAATATCCATTGTTTAGCTTTTACTAGGAAGTGAATATACTTTTAAAACTATGAGACATTGGCTTGTTCCTGAATTAATACTGTATCCAACAACAACAATATATATATATATATATATATATATATATATATATATATATATATATATATATATATATATATATATATATATATATATATAATCAGTTTTTAATAGAGAATTTTCCTAGCATTTTATACAAAATCAGACCCTTTATCTAGGTTTCCTTAGGTACTTTCTATCAACCACTACAAGTCCAAAACATCCATAGGGCTGGATGTGTGGCTGTGAATTGCCCAGCTATGTTATAGTGCACCATAAGTTGGAGGAAACTAGACAACATATCACCAAGTATCAATAATCTTTTTTCAACAACTGTGTAAGAAGTTATGAGAATTTATGCAAATATGTTTTCCTTTCATTTTGAAAACAAAGGACAAATGTACTGGCCCTTTAACTGCTGCTATACGTTCATTCATTCTGCCCTGTAGGTTGTCAAGATGGAAAAGTGAAGAATAAAATCTACATTTTCATAACCTGAAATGAAAAGCAGCTCTATGAGGATTTGGTTAGGTCCAATATTAAGACATAATGTCTCCTGAACAAGCCTCACACCTGTACTTGCTTTAAATCTGTCACCCACTCGTAAAGGCTAATTCATAAGAGCTGTATTTTATTTCGCACGGGGGGGAAATCAGGCCTAAAGAGCTCTAACTTCTTCGCTTAACAGCTAAGTCATTCATCTTTCCTAGATCAGATCTCACAGGAGCTGCTAGGGAGGAGAGCAGAGGCAGAGAGACAGGAGCACTGAGAGAAGAATGGAGCCGTATCAGGTTTTTAACCTTGCTGTCAGTCCAGATCCAAAGAGCCATTTCTGGGCACGGTCCGACTGAAACCCAATTCCAGCACATCTTTAAAAGCTTTAGGAAGTCCCTCTGGACTCAAGTCAGTTCCTCGTGTCACAACCAATTTCCCCTCCGAGCCATTTTGTCCTCACCAGTGCACTTCTTCATAGACTAGATAAAGCAGGATATGTTTTCTATCCTGAGCTAATTTAGAAAAGCATTTAATGAGAAAAAAAAGTAGGGAAACCTGACATTATTGTACATCTAACTGCTTATGAGACTGTGACTGAGCTGGTATACATGTTTTAATACTCAGGACCTTTAATATGGGGTGAGAGTTCCCAGGTATGGAACCAGAAATCTGCAGTCACCTTAAAATGGTTTTGAATCTTTCTCTCATTATAAACTGAGCATGTTTTGTTTTTTTTGTCCCTGATGTCCTTGAAGGTTAAGAATATAAAGTCATGAGTCATTCAAAGAGTCTCCTGTCATTCATCAGAGCTTGCTTTTTAGAGCAGAAATAAAGCAAAGCACGATACATTTCTATTCATCCTCTGTCCAGCATTTCGAAGCAGCTATGAAGAAATGCTCAAAAATGTGATTCCAACTCCCATAATTGTTTGTGAAGCTGGAAAAAAGGTCTCAAGTGCACAAACAATTAAGAACTTTGTCTTTTCAAACTTTGAGGGAAAAAAAGTATTTATTTGTGGCAAAGCTTCGTCCCTGATGATGTTTCGCAGGAAAACAGAGGTTGGGAAACTGCTCCATATGCACCCAAAACAGAGGTTTCTGTAAGAAAAACATCCTTAAATTCAGAAAAGGGATCAGATTAAACTTTGTTGGCCAGGTTTGTGTACAAAAACAACAAATGTTGACTTGAAATAACTGAGTTAAAAGTTTAAACTGCAAATCAAATAGCATGTAGAAACATTTTATACGGATAAACTAAGAACAAGGTGCAATATGTACAAATGTGATGTTGTCTTTTTACTTATTATTTAGATTAGCATTTTATCCTTGCTATAAAATGAGGAAGGAAAATGTCTAGTGTCTGCTATATTTCTGTTTGAGTCAAAGATAAAAAGAATGGAAGGCTGTGATTATCCTCTTTGCCACTATACATTATCATTGTAGTTTAGACCTGTTCTGTTTTCTAGAAGAGCCAGACCACAAAGAGATGCTGAGCACAAACAGGCAAACTGATGGCGGTGTGAAAGAAGACCAGTAACTCCTGTGAAAGGTTGTACAATCTGATTTGCAGCAGGAAGTACACTTTCTGCGTGGCCTTTTATCCTACAGAGTATATTATGAGGATCATCTCTGGTTACTACAGAGAGGGGTGGGTTTCTCCTGAAGTCCAGCCTCATCTCCACTGTTTTTTAGCACACAAGCCGGTCCACCTACTGTCTGTATGCAGAGTCATCATTACTGCCAACTTCAGGACGAATTCACCGAGGCAGAGAATAGAGACTGGAGATCGTTCTTTCTTTCCTCAGTGTCAGAGCCAAAGGAACGAGTGACAGAAGCAACTGATAATGTTTTATAATTCAACCCCTCCAGTTCCCCCCTGCCAAATCCCCCCAACAAATTTTTGTAGTTGGTTGTTGTTAATTTTAAGCCCAAATGACATGTTGCGGTAGTAAAACTGAAGCTTGGTTTATACTTGACTTCACATTTTGTCCACCTTCCATTTTCAGTGAGGAGCTTCTCTCTTCACCCTCAATGATCGACTCTAAAACAACTCTTCAATCATTTAAAGCATCACATTTATATTAAACCAAAACCTAGAAACTTGAGGTCCGTGAACAAACCGGTTAGCATTACAGCCGGCAATAAGCTTATTATTTAGGTAATACGTTCTTATGGAGCAAGCAGCTTTGCTTCACTGCAGCTAATGCTTAGTAAACACATATGGACTTTCTCAATGGTAACTGAAGTTGGACATTTATTTGAATCTGCAAAAATATGCTAATTCTTGCTGATGAAGGTTCTCAGTCATCCAGGTCATAGTCATTCCGTATTCAAATGTCATTTGAATTGAGAAAGCTTCCTGGAGAGGTGGCGAAACGTCTTCAAATCTTGAAAACCAAGTCCAGTGGATATTTTTTGAATTTTTACGGAATATGCTAATTCTTCTCCAGAATCGAACTCAAAGGTTGAGGGGTTTGTTTTAGACGTCTTCTAATCAACATTTCTGATCAAATTCATGTTGTTGTTTTTTTAATTCAATCTTAAATCAACCTAAAGAATAAGAATGACCCCTTTAGACCCCCGTTATAGAGCCTGAGGAGTTCTGCTCCGCTGCCTAAAATGTTAGCTTCAGGCTCAGAGTGGCCGTAGGTGTGTTATGCAAGCCTGCAGGATAAAACCATCATTGTTTCCACATCGCCCACAGATACAGTTCACATATCACAGCTCCCATGGTGAAATCCCAACCCTTTAACATTTGGGTTTTTAAGTCAGAGGTTCAGAGGTAATACACTGCAGAGATTGTTGCAGATTTCTCTCTGCAATTTCCTTTTAATCAAATGTAGTGAAAACATCACAGCTATGAGCAAATAAAACAAAACCTTTAACATAATCGACCAATTTTTAGTTATGACCGGATTCAACAATAAAAAGCTGTGAGCAAAAAGAACAGGATAGTGTTCTCATACAACCAGGGTTTGAGTTTTATTCTTCAATTAAACATAAAAATGAAAGTAGACAGAGTATTGTGAGCATGTTGTTGGAGGATCAGGTGATGGTGGTGATCTTACCTGCTTCTGGGAAGAAACATGGACTCCTTGATGAAAACTGAGCCCGATAACAGGATGTACCAGCAGCTTCCAACATCATCTGGGCTGAGAGACACAAGAAGAAAATCTAATTAATACCAAGACAGGGAGAGGGGTTTACTGTTATAATTCACGAATATGGTGAAATAGTAAAACACAAAGGTGAATAGGAGGTTTCAACACATTATTCTGCTCATTTCAGTTGCTTAGCCAGATTTCCTATTCAAAGAAAATATATGTTCTGTGTGTTTTACAGTTCCAATTGTCACCCAAAGCAGGCAGCAAATAACCTTTCAAAACGTATTGCGTTAAATGCAGTCAGGTACTGGTTAACTGTGTTGCTAAGAATACCTTCATCTCTGAAGCTGCGAATATATTCAACTCCTTGCAAAAAAACATCCATACTTTCCAAACCTCTTTACAACTTGTTTATACCTCAACAGTTTAAAGTCCAATGTACTTTAATGAGATTTGATGAAAGACTAATACAGACGAGTGCATAACTGGAAAGGAAAAGATAAAGGAAACCAGGTTTTCCAAAATCTTAAAGAAATCTGATAAGTGGAGGGAAAAAAAGCTGCATATAAGTCTGGACTTTGATTAGGAACTTGTTTCATTATTTAAAAAAAAAAACAATTGAAGCTATGTGGAAATGATTTAGAGTAACTGTACCCAAGGAAGCTAAACCTTCACCACAGTCAAGTCAAAGTCATCCCCACATAATGATGCTGCCACCACCCTGGCTCAATATGCAAAGGATATGTTTGGGGAGGTGTGCAGCGTTAGTGAGTTACATCCCTTAAATATATGCTTCCATAAATACAGTGACTAAAAGGGAGGCAGGAAACAAAAAGAAAACCTTGGAGAAAGGCAGAGTTTTATAAAGAATAAATACCTCCCACACCCATGGGCCTGCTGGAAGACGCAGACAGTCAAACAGTGTGCTACAGGCATAAACTCACCCTGACCCTTGGATGATGCAGCAGGCTAAGCCTTACAAGAGGAAAAAATGAACAAATCCTCAGCATATATGCTAAGAAAATGCTTTGTGATTAATATCTTTTGGCTATGTATTAAAAATACTATGTAAAAATATTTTTTACTTTTTTCAAAATAATCTGGTAATTATTTATCTGACTTTAGGAAATTGGAGCAACATCAAACTGTTATTGTGGAAAAAAATGATCATAGAGAACAGATAATGCAGAATTATTTTGGTTTTTGGTTGGTATTATTTGGTTTTAACATTTGATATACATTGATCGCCTGTTAGAAGTTAATGGCCATCTATCAGCTTTGGCACCAATTAGGGAGGAGTTAGTGGAAATACTGTAGCTGGGCTGCAACTCGGCCGTTCATCGTGGACTTTTTTTCCTTCCGATCTGGACGGCAGCAGAGGTGAACAGTTTAAAGCAGGATGATAAAGCGGCCTTTTGTTTCAGAGCAGCTTGTTAGACAGCAAGTGAAGCAGAAATTTAGAGAAGGAAGCTTTAAAATGATGTGAAAACTATGTGTTATTCTGGCAAAAGGACATGAATACAGAAACATGACAAGACACAGTCTTTGGATTTTCTGTTTCAAAATCGAATAAAAGAAAGAAAACTACTGGTTATCGTTTGCTGTTTGTTGTTTTTGTTTTTTTATAAAATAATTTTAAATAATCCAAACATGAAATTATAAAATATAAATTTTATAAGAAATGAAATTATAATTTTTTCTCAGTGTAATGTTCTGGACTTAGAGCCCTGGAAATTATGATCCATTGTGTTTTCAGTCAGCACTAACATTGCAAATGTTCATCGTTGACATGTTTGTCTTATTTGGAGGATTTTGTAACCAACAGTATACAAAATGCACCTAGACTATCTCAACTAAAACAGATTCACTGCTATAAGGTCAGTGCGCTCCCTGATTTCCAGCTGTTGTTACCCCGGAAACCACTTAGCCTTTCCTGGCTTCACTTTGGTGACCAGATTTCAAAGTAAAAGCGAAAAGCCACATTGTAAATATGGCGGATTGTTTCTTTGTAAGTTTTGCACACCGAGAAACCTTCATAACAGTATTTAACCTCTGAAAAACCTTTTTTTGGTCTTAAATAAAAACGTAAATCTCTACTAAACTGATGATATTAGAAAAGGGCTGAATTTCTAGAACAATACCACTACTACAGTTTAAAGCAAAAGCCGTATCATTTTGTTTTTCATTTACAAAGCTTAAAGAAACATTTAACCTGATGGATTTTTTATTATTTCAATAACAAATGTTTGGATTAAGGTTTCAAATACAGAAAACTGTTATTTTCTTTTGTGCAATTTTGTTCTAAAATATAAAGAACAGAAGAATGAACTGTACACAGCTTTTCCTTGATCTTTGCTTACAGTAAGTGTAAAAGATGGGTGCACCTATTATGCTCCTGCTCCCACACAGGAGCATCATTTCACATCCAACACCTCTGCACTGCTGACTTGTTCTTTTTAATCAGGTCTGCCTTCTTCATCCACTTTCTTCTTTCCACACTTTCACACAGAGCTCCTGACAAGAGTGTAAAATCTCATTTATTTCAAAAGCGAGCCGGTTTTTCCACTTTCCACCGCTTCTTTCCGCTCTCCCACATACTCGCTCCGCACTTTCAGGATCCCACTCTGCATTGGGATAAGCACGAACAAAACCTTCAATTATTAATAACCAGCAAACACTAAATGAAGGCAGCGCCCAACAATAGGAGGAGGAGAGCGGAGCAAAACAAAAAAAGACAAAGAAAGAAGACTCTACTATTCTCTGGGACAGATTGACTGATTTGGGTCAGCAACAGTCAAACGCTAACATTGTAAAAACCCCACAGAAAGGCCTGTAACAGCAGGGAGGCAGATTATATGTGTGGAATGGAGCAGGTGGGGAGGTGAGAAGATGAAGAACTCCAGAAAATGAGGATCGACTCAACAATAAAAGCAGGGATGAAATTTCCCTTGAGAACGTTTGATAATAATTGATTGGTATTATGGAAGTTCAAAATCCTGCATTCCTAAAATTCTATCATGATATAACCACTTCCCCTTCTGAAGGCGAACAACTGGCTGCTTCTGGTTTCAGCTCTGACTAACATCAGCTGAAATCGGCCTTTTTCCGTCAACGAATTGCTCAATCAGAGCACGGGAACTTGAAAGCTTCTTTACGCAATCATACTTAATCACACTCCAGGTCACAAGCTTTATTTAGTCGCAAGAAAAGGGCACAATTAATGGCCTTTTGTTTTTTTCAAACAGAAAATAATGAGAGCTGCTTCGAGACTACCATACAATGAACATATAAAAGCAAAAACTGGAGCTTCTATAGATGGATTGAAAAAAACAAAATTCTAACATAAAATAATATTTAAAGTTTATTTGATAAGGATGGGTGATTTTAAAGTAAATAATGCAACAAATATTAAAGTATCTGTCTGATATCAGCCAAAATACGAGTATCTGATTATATCAGTGTCTAGATTATTACATGAATATTACTGAAAATGTATCTTAAAATACTGTCAAATTGTTATATTTGATTATCTATTTCAGTCACATACCCTCACCTGACTCACATTTGACTGAGGCATGTGACTGAAACCGATTTGAGGAGGGAGTTAACGACCCATCAGATCCCTCTAACGACCATTAACAGCCCCCAGGTCCAGTAGGAGGGATCAGAGCTAACTTTTGTTCTCTCTAATTCTTTAATAAACCTACAGTATATTAATCTCAGTGCTCCCCAGCACTAGTTAGAACTGAACAGTGGTGGGCTGTCACGGCCTCTCAGAAACACTAACCTAAATAAAAAAAAAAAAACTAAACTTTAATTTTCTTCTTTTTAACTTCAGTTAAATTCCAAAAAATCTGTTCTCCTAATTTTGTAGCTTATGTCTTGGCTGTGCTGCTTCAGTTACATTTATGGTGGTTGCTATATTTTTGTCCAATCAGATTTCAGCTTTAGTTCATCGCTATCAAATCTGCCCAGATCCTTCAAAATCAGCAGTGCTGGCTGATCTTACCTTTACAATATTAGTGAGGACAACCAATCAGATCTCAGATTTGCCCCACTGGGCCAGCAAGCGGCCCACCCCTACCTCACTGTTTTCTCTCCTCTGATTGGACAGTTAGAACAACCTTTTTAAAGCCAAGTTAAGCTAGAGACAATCTGCATTTTAGTTTTGCTCGTTAAAAAAAAAATTCTGGCCTCAATGGCTGATATTACATGGAGATATCAAGACTTTCTGCACAAAGACAGAAGGATGGATTTTGTTTATAAATAATCAGCTTATCTGGTGAGTGTGATATATTTTATTTTCATGCTTTATGTGCTATTTTATCTGGTAATTAGATGCATATTGAAACCGAACCGCTACTGATATAAATGTTGCGGGGCTGCTTTTATAGAGTGGAGGATTGCCACTGTGTTAACTGGGCTTCTTGCTTAATTGATCTCTAAACTTATCCTCACACTAATCTTCCTCTCAGTTATACTGGCGCTTGTTACATTTAATTTTTGAATACTATCAGTGGTTTCTTTTATTAAAAAGTAAATGTGAAAATGATAATATCAACCTCTGGAAACTCATCGTTGCAAATATGCAACAAACCAAGATTATGTAGCTTTAAAAGTGTATATATATATATATATATATATATATATATATATATATATATATATATATATATATATAAACTAAACAAGCCTCTTGGATGAGAGGAGAAACGTCTTCTAGAAAATTTCACGCCAGTTGTCTAAACAACATTTCAAGCCTATGCCAAGCAGTTCATACCACATTGGATAAACAAAGATATATAATATGTTCAACAACAACACAATGAATGAATTTCAACACTACAGTGGCTTTTCCAAACTGAAAATAAATCACCAGCGGTAACCATTAAGATGTTATTGTCAGACTGCTTTAACCATGAATCCTCCAGAGACTCAGAGCCACAATATGTGGGTAATGTTATGAAATAAAGCACACACACTTTTTTGGTTGTTGTTTTTCTTTTCTTTTTTCTCTTTGGTTTTTACTAAACCAAACCATTAGGTAG